GGACACGACTGGACTAAATGTCAAGGGGAACCCTTACCTTTACCTATCATTCAAGATACAGCATGAAAAGGAAAAGAGGTGTCTTGTGTTACTGAGGACTGTTTTAGTCAAAGCTAAAGAGAACAATACCTCTAGAATAGTGGTCCCCAAATTTTTCCCAACCATGGACTGGTTGGGGGGGTGGCACGCCTACAGGGGGGGACCTCGCTCGCGTGCATGTGTACATCACGGTTGTGGGGAACATTCTTGTGCATGCACACAGCACTTGCAGGAGGCGGAATATGCTCACGCAGGGTGATAGTAGATCTGTGCCTGTGGTCCGGTCCTGGATAGGTCACGGACCGCTGCCAGGTTGTGGACCAGGGACCTCTGCTCTAGAAGAAAAACTGTGGGACTAAGAAAGTGCCTAATCAATATGAAAATTAAGCTGCAAACAGATCAACTAGCCACACCGTAAATAAGACCAAAACCCATCTATCCACTCAAGTCTGAAATAAAACGAATTGGTTTTTTTTTTAGCTCCCCCAACCGTTACATACAGGGGGAAAAGAAAGAAAAAACAGATCACGCCATTTCTATCATTCTTGAGAATATCAATGGTTGTTCTGCAGCCGTTTCATGTCTGAAGGGAATACCACCACCCAAAGGCACTTTCTGAAAGTTAAGCAACATCTAGCACTTTAGTTATTAGTATGCTTGGCATAAAGGTGAGATGGATCTAAGTCTGCTGAGGAAGGCAAGGTGATAAATCTCATAGGATTCTCCAGGTATGGGGAATAAAGAACTGCGAAGCCAATACTGTACCTCTTCTGTTGCAGGCTTTTTTGCTAGCTGTGTCGAAATCAAAGGTCTTAACCTGAATGAGAGAATTCAAGACGTTAGATCCTTTATGTAATACAGAGAAATGAAGTTTCATTCAGCCTATCTAGCAAATGTAAAACAACAGGTTGAGATGGCAGCCTTAGGCATTGTACTGCCAGAGAACTGGGGGAGGAGCGGAGAGAGACACAAAGAAGGATGAAGTAGTACATGGAAGCTCCCTGGAAAGAATTAGAGGAGAAATAAAGATCAGGTTACAGCGACTCTCTAAAAGAACGCTCAAATAGTAACAAACGTCTGGTAAGTCTCCCTTCTCCAACAGCAACAAAAATCTTGCAGGATCAGACTCGTCTTGAAATAAGTTTAAAGGAAATCATGTCTGTGTACATTATTTATTCATTCATAAACTGTGCGCTTTCTTCTTCACTAAAAATAATCAGTAACACAAACTCAGTAAATAAAAATCATAACGGCAATATTAAAAGGAGACAGCATATAATGATGTTATTTCAAAAAGAAAGGGGAACATTTGCAAACTCTGGGTATGTTTATTTATATATTTGTATATTTAACTTGTTTACCACCCCACCTAGGGACACTACTCACTACTCTGGGCGGTTAACAAAATAAACTGTCAAGCATCCACCCACTCTCCAGGCATCGCCCACATACAACCCCCCCAAAATAGAAGTCCAAACAATATGGCGATGACCAACCCATAGCCCCCAACTCGCACAAATCCTAAATTTAAAAATCTGGGGAGAGCTTTGGGACTGCAAACTGCACAGGTCTTTTTTTACAAAGAAACACCACCTGAATGAACTACTAGCTACCCCACAAAGCTATTTAAAAAATTCTTTGTGAAAATCAAAGCCTTCGTTCTCTTTTGGAATTCATTCACACATCCCGGGGGAACATGACCCCCTAATCTGGGCACTAATGTTCAAAGAAATCTTCAAGGGCAGTCACATGGATACCGTATTTCAGGTAGGCCACTTCATGTGACCTTTTCTTTCCGTTTACCATGGGCCAAGAAGAATTTACAGGGTGGATTTAAAAAACTAAAGTATCAGTGAGGTTAATATATACGCCATTCATGTACGTTCATGGCCAAACTAGCTACCCTGTTTCCCCGAAAATAAGACCTAACCTGAAAATAAGCCCTAGTATGATTTTTCGGGATGCTCGTCATATAAGCCCCAGTTAAGTGAAATTCCACCTTCCACCCTTGTGCAGCATTATGCAGCAACCAGAAGATGACATGACTATAAAATAAAACATTCCCTGAAAATAAGCCCTAATGCGTTTTTTGAAGCAAAATTAATATAAGACCCGGTCTTAGTTTCAAAGAAACACAGTATGACATGAGCAGAACATTCATGTCCCTGACCCATTTATATATAAAACTGGAGATAATGAAGCTTATGCAGAAAGATAGACGGCAGAGGACGATAAGCAAGTCTATCATTTAGTCACAAATATGTGCACAGGGAGGGGAAACACACTTGTGCTGTGTGACCAGGACTAGAAGAAAAGTACCACTTTTTCCTACAGGATAAGAATCCCCCTTATCCTATAGGAGCTTCATGGCAAAGTGGTTAAACTGCAGTAGTAGTTAGATTGCTGGGATGGTGGGCGATGTGTAGCCTGCATAATTAAACTGTAAACAGCCCAGTGTGCTTTAAGCACTATGTGGCAGTATATAAGCAGCACACTTTGCTTTTTACTTTTTAATCACATCTTCTGTTTTATACATGAAGAGGATAAACAAACCTTGTAGCCCCTGCCAGATCAATTTGAATCCCCTAAGCACTAGGATTCGCTGCAGCTCTGTGCTAAGCATTCCTACACTGGGTCACATTGGAATTTAATGTGCAGAAGGGCTCTTACAATGAGGCCGTATCTTCTTTTAAGTTGGCATTCAAGACCCAGATATATATTCTGTATAATATTATATGGGCAACAGAATAAAACAAAGCTGCAAGGGATTCAGCGAAGGACAAGGGATAAATTCTCCATGAAAAATGTTTCTTTTAAAAGGGAAAGAGAGACAAGAGCCTTATAGCGCAGTGGTTAAATTGCTGTACTGCAGCCAAAACTGTGCTCACGACCCAGGATTCAATCCCAGGTAGCTGGCTCAAGGTTGACTCAGCCTTCCATCCTTCCAAGGTCAGTAAAATGAGTACCCAGCTCCTGGGGGGGGGGAATGTGTAGCCTGCAGAATTAACTTGTAAACCGCCCAGAGACTGCTTGAAGAGCTATGGGGTAACATATGATGATGATGATGATGATGATGATGATGATGATGATGATGATGATGATGATGATGATGATGATGATGATGATGATGCATTTCTCCCAGCAAGGGACTTATATTGGTATATAAGCAGCATGCTTTGCTATGCTTTTTTAGACAAGGGCCTAAACCCAAGAGCACATTCACTGAATCTACTGCTGATTCAGTCAACATTTACAGAAGTCCCATCGGCTCTAGTGGGGACTAACAACTGGGTTTAAGCCCATCTTCCCTCCTTCGATGTATCTTATATGTTTCCTTTCCATTTTCGAGAAATTATCCAGTGTTTTGATTTCTGCTTTACTTTTCAGTTAGAGGGGATACCAAGGAAGCATAAAATAATAAAGTAGAATTAAACATAGGCCATTTCCGCACGGCTCCAACACATGACATTTGTTTGGAGTGGCAACTTTAGGGTTATGTGTAGAGATGAGCACAAACCATGGTTCAGCACTTTGGTTTGAGTGGATCGAGCTCACAGATGTTGCTCAGGCACCCCAAATCCCCTGCCCCTTCTCCTCCATGGAAGCCGCACCCCTGGCTTCCTTGTCTTGCCGCCTCCTCCTTTAGGAGGGCACCTGTGGAAGGAGGCAGGGCATGGAATATGGAGTACCCATACAACACCTGTTGGCCCAGTCCACCCAACCATGCCCAAGTACCAAACCATGGTTAATTTCCCTCTCTAGTCATGTGGCAAACTAGAACCCCTGTATCTGTGGGGGATTGTTTCCAAGCACCCCCCACAGATGCTGAAAAACACAGATTACAGTGAACACAACTTTAATAGTGAGCGCTATACAGTACATAGCATGGTCTCTGGCTCCCTCTAATGGCCAGTTCCAGTAACTTTATCTATAGAAGTGTATATATTTTTAGGATTTTTCTTTTAATATTTTTAATATTCTCAGACCGTGGATAAGTGAATCAGCGGATATTGATCCCATGGAAAAAAGTGTCCTATTGTATTTCATGCCACCACTCTCTGTAGTAGCATTTGAGGAGTCTGCTGTCCGGCTGCAGGCTCCTTCTTCCCTTGTGCCTGGACTGCTTTCGAGTGTAGAAAGGGAAAGCATCATACTTGGGACAGCTGACCTGGGTAAGGGATTCTGCAACTTGTAGTTAAAAAATAATAATAAATTTCCCAAACTCTGCTCTGTTATCCGGCCATGTGTTCCTTTGATATATGACTCTTCAAAATAGCACAGGGTTTTTCTATGATAAACACAGACTGTGCCTCTTCCTCAAAGAAAGAATGAACTATACTGATTCCAAAGAGAGCAGCCATGGATATCTATCTGCAGGTCGGAGCAAAGGCCCTGGGATTCTAAATATATTATTTTAATACACACAGGTACTGTTTTCTCACCGTACGTGCTGTAAATGAAACATTTGCTCCTCTGCTTCCCAAATCCGTCTGTTTTGGGTTGCTTAATGAACTGTTATTCAATATTTAAAAACTAAATGTTTTTAAGGAGGGGGGCAAGAAGGCAAAAATAAAAAAAGTCACTCTGCTTTCAGGAGATCAATCCGAGTTAATGTGTGAAGAACTTAAGGCTTTCATTATCTGTGCATATTAAAATTCAAAGACTTGGCAGAGCTGCAGAGAACTACACCTGAGAGCAGGATTAAGATCCTGAAAAACTGAGAGCCCAAGGGAATTAAGGCAGTACAATGCTCCATGCTCAGCCTATCTGCCATAGCAACAGTGCCCCTTCAGATGTAATAACTACAGCTCCCATCATTCCCAGGGAGCCTGCCTAATGGCTATTTATAAAGGGCTATAAAGAGCAGCAATCAGAGGAAACAGTGGCATGCAGTCCTTCAATTCTGGAATAATACTGAAGTCCAAGAGGCAGTTAGATTTACAGCCTACCTTCTAAGGTGACCAAATACAGTAAGTAATTACAAAGTTTACAGCCTACCTTCTAAGGTGACCAAATAAGTAATTACGAAGCTACGTGTTTGTGTACATTGCTGGATCTTCTGCACTGTTTTAAATTTCTTATGAAAATATTTTGGCATTTTGCTGAGGCTCATTTAGATGGTGAGGAGGAAGGAGGCAGTGCAGGCAGTGTCTTGGGGCTCTGAATATACAATGGGAATGTGGTGCGGGAGGTTATTACAGCAGTATTTTCTATATAGTATAATTACAGTGAGCCACCCTAGGCCTCCAAGGAAGGGAATAAATAAATTAAAATAATAATATGCAAAACCTGGATGAATTCGTTTTATTCAGTTCCCCCTGTTCTTTAGTTCACAGTATTATCCCACATGCTGTAAACTTATGAACAGCATCCAAAAATGTTCCAGACATTCAGATAAATAAAGGAAATGATATGTAATACACTTTTTCTCCCCTTCTAAGTGTGGTATTTGGTCTTAAAAAAAATACAAATTCCATTATCTGAATAAATATGATTTACTTATTTGGAATCTGCAATTCTATCCATAAGTACCAATAGGTAATATCCACTGAAAACAGTAGGACGTACAGTATTTCCAAGTAAACATGTGCAAAAATTTATAATCAGATTTTCAAAATATTTGGAAGATTTCCAAAAATACCAAAGGGAAACAGAGAATGGAAAAGCAGGGAATTGAAGGTCAGATGGTCAGGAAGTCATGGCAAGGGTGGAACACTGTTATGACACATGACAGTGCTGGAGGCACCCTTCCAGGAGTGGCAGAAGACTATTATTAATGTTGATATAATTACGATGATTAATTCTGTTGCAATAGTA